GATAGCGTCAAAGCGAATTTCAAAACAGCTCCAAAAGGACTATTAATAAGCAGAGTTAAAAGATATTAATTTTCTTTCTTGTATACCGAGCGATTTAGGTTAAGGCGAGACCTTGTTTCGTAGTGGATGCTCTCCTAAAGACAGCGAGCGTCAAGCGAAGAGCACAGGCTTGACAAAGTTACCATGTGTCAGTAGTCCACCATTTTAAAAGCTAGAACTTTTTTCCTTTAAAAAGGTACGTTTGCGAGCAATGAACTAACTCCAGACAAAGGAAAGTCAAGGCGACCGGATCAGATCGCCGAAATATTTAGGTCTGTAAACGCTACCGATCTTGTGTAAATATGGGAATGTCACGTGGAAGATGATTAGAGAAACTGAAAGTTTCCTTCTTTTGAGCTCCAAAAAAAAAAAAAACCCTGAATGATACATACCGTTCCTGTATTAACAGACGTGCAGCAGTACAAACCGGCTTTCAAAACAACTACTACTGATTCTGTTCCCTATTTGAACTCTAAGCACATTTAAATAGCCTATTTAAATATTCGGACCCCAAAGCGATAATATTCCGCATTCCGAACTTACTGAGAATACAAATAAGAAGAGGTCAATCCATAGGCAGTTAACGACACTCAAGTAGAGACTTCCCGTCACGAACAACTAGAGATCTAGATAGCGACATGTTCCTATGTAGAGACTCCTTCCTCTACCTGCTATGGTTACGTATTTCTTTTATGCTACTCTTGTCTTCATCATTTAATTTCTCTTTAAGAAATGTGGGTGCTTCAACCCTAATTTGCACCGTAACATCAGTAAACAAGTTCTCCCAACCGTTCTCTATACACTTCCTATGGAATTTAAAGAGAGTCTGTATGAAAATCACTAGCTTCCTGAGTTCACGATCATTTCTCTCATTCAAATGGCCTTAATAGTTGATTTAAGCACGGGCGTCCTAAGCTCACGTCTCGAGGAAAAACGAAAGATTATGTCTTGAAAGCGTTACGCGTTGTATGACGCGGTGTTAAGTTACGCGAGGAACCGTTGAGAATTTGAATGCGCTATAAAGAATCGTATGGATAACGAAATATGGTCCGTTTACAACACTAAATATTCCGAAATTTGAACATGTTACACATAACATTCTCTATAACGCATTCAAATTCCCAACGGTTCCTCTCTTAGCGTAACCCCCCGTCACACAACGCGTGACGGTTTCAAGATATAATCTTTCGTCATCTTCAAGAAGAGTAGGACATTTTTTAATTTAGACGACATGTTTCGATGTTACGAACATCATCGACAGTTACAGACTATTTGAAAAACCGTTAGGGCTATATAACAACTAGGCGAAACATGCATAATTAATTATGATTAAGTGACAAAAATTACATATTTGAGTGAGTAAAGTGTTGGAAAGAATATAAAGCCTAAAGCGTAAGCGTCATGTTGAGGCGATGAACTTGTTCGTTTAAATTAGGCTTTTCCCGGTTTATGTGCATAGCCTCCTTAAGTTTAAGTTGAAATTTAGTAGGGGC